CAACGGCTCCCACAACTGAAGCAGTTTCTTCCCCTTCCCTTTAAGTGATGGGGTGCAGGTGTTGGAAACACTTAAAAATAATATTGGCAGATAATTGAAAAACATTAATTACATGGCTGCTGGTGGATTGATGTGATAAACGTGCTGCCAGTGGATCTGGTCAGAGCCAAAAGAAAGCAAATTCCTAACTTCAAGGAGGTTCTCAAAAAGTTATTCTCAGATTATTAATGCTGCAGCAGAAATATACACAAGCTTAAAGGGAAAAATCTTACAATATTACAGTCAACCCATATCTGTAAGATGTCCTCCAGTATGCAAATGGCTTGGTGGATTCCAGGAATTATTATAAGATTGCATCTTCTTCACTGGTTTACTCCACCTTTTCCAACCTTCCTAACCTTTCTCATGTCTTTTACTTGAGTTTAAGATTTTTAAGTTTCCTAGAACAGCCCACATGAAGAAGAGCTCAATGCGATGTTTAAGTGCAGTAGAGCAAAAAAAGAAGAGCCTTTTCCACCAGTCATTCTAGATCATTTCTGACTGAAACATCTCATGGTGCAGCAATGTTATTTGCGTCCTGCAACCACTAACATGGGAAGTGCTTCTTTTCCCTTAGCTTTGCTTTTTAGGTCAGCTGCTTCCTTTTTCTACATTGCACAACTGCGTGACTTGTTGCCAGCATCTGCGTTTTCAGTACCTGCATGTAATCTAGAAGGGGGTTCCTCCCATAAGTGCTGCCAAGTTTGAATGCACCCCAACAGTGTAGGACATAGAATGCAGAGTATTTAGGAGGTGGAAGTGGATATATGACATTTAACTACTGATCCATGGAAAAGACGTGCAGACTGAGAGGCATGGGTTAGACTGCTTTGCATATTTCCTTTTACCATTCTTCTTCTTCTTCTAATTATTATTATTATTATTATTATTATTATTAATATTAATATTATTTATCATTTCCTGATTTGTATCTTATTAAATCAGATGGTCAGGGACAAATTATGTCATTTAGTATTGCAACAAAATCAAATAGTTTACCCACACATGAAAATAAAATATAAACATTAGTAAATTAAATGTAAGAGATATATAAATATTTAATTTAATTGTAGAAAACTTATGATATTATAAAGTTATTATGATAGTGTGATGTCATTGCACACCTTTTATTATGTATGACTTTAATGCACCTGTTTTAATGTAGTACTAGCAAACTACATCAATAGCAGAGTTTTCAAATGAAACTTCCTTCTGTGAACACAAACAACGTCTGTAAAATTTCAGGCAATAATCTGTTTATGGCCTTAAACTTAACTACTTTAACATTTTCAACTGCAGTCCTACAGTTTTCATATCTTTGATTTGGTCTGTTCTCTTGAAACCATCTTATTTATAATTCATATTGCTCTATTCTATCTATTGCTCTGTAGTATACTCACACAGCTCCACACAGTAACTAAAATATTTGAAATGCACTTTTGTCTTTATATGTGCTAAGTGAGGTTTTCAAGAAACCCTGTGGTCTAAAATTACACCCATAAACACTGGACAAAACATTGTCTTTAATCAAGATAAAGATATTCACTGCAGAGATTACCAGGCTCATCCTCTGCCTGAATGTGATCCAAAGAGTTATGGCCGTTGAACTTGTTGAACTGTAATTTTCTTGGTGAAGGTGTTGATTAACACCCTTAAAAGATATTCTGTTAAGCCGGTTCAGAATCAGCATGTCTTTTATTACCATTTATATAGCCAGTAAGACCGTTAACTACCATAAAACTTATTGAGATTGTGGACAAAAATATGACATTGTCTATAATGAGACTTGCCAGCAGGGAGCCTGGTGACCAAGAAGCTCTCGTAAGATAAAAATGTTTGCTGTGTGACAGCGCCTTAGCGTTTATAGGTTGTTCTCTTGGCTCCAACTCCACCAAGTTAATTATTATCTCCGTAACAATGTCTGTTTGTGTGTGATCAGGGAGAGTTCAGATAATCCTGTTTGGATTTTAAAAAGAGTAATGTCTTCGTCCTACCCTGAAGATCTTCCCTGGTCATGTGACAAGGTCTAACTGAAATGAAAAACATTTTGTCTTCCATAGAAGCAGCCAGTGTCTACCTTTCTTTTACTTTTGACATCGGAAGAGCAAATATAGCAATCTTGCTGCTTTTACACACCTGTGTGTAATTTGATGGACTATCTATATACATTTAAGGTGAGTTTGTGTAGTTCGAACATAGAGGACTCAACCTAACGCGTGTGTCCAAAGCGTGGTTTGCTCTCCATTTCTGTGTGTGATATTCAGTGTTGTTCTTATCATTCTTAGTCAGTCATTACACATTACCCTAAATAGTGCAAATAGTGGGTTTTTTTACGCCTATATGTAGCCTGACTTTGGTTCTGTAGGTAAATTTAACCTCTACACGAACTCCGCAGCTGGTTAATGTTCAGTGTAGTTTTTGTGCTTTTGAAATGCGTTTTTCACTTTGTCCACAGCTTATTGACTTTACTCAGACATTTGAAATCCAAGGTAATAATTACTACCTAATGTTGTCTT